CGGAGGTGGTGCAGTGGCATTTGGCGTTCTATCTCACGCGTGTGGTCCTGGGTACGAATTCCACACCTATATCCGCCTAAACCAACCAAGCCCTCCATCGCTGCGGTTCGCTCAGTTGAAACCAGACTCGTCTGGAAGATTTAAAGCCTTGACTTGGACATCGGCTGCCAACGCAATTCATTGGATAGGCCACACTTAATACCCCTTTACGATTACGAAGGGTGGCCGAATGCAGGGCTTCCCTCAGACGGGATTGATTGACGTCCCAATCACTTATCCCTTAATTTTAGACATTAATGTTGACTATTCTGGCAATCTTATAGCATTCTTCCGAAATTTCACCTGGGGGAAACCAAGAGCTCGTAGTACTTTGTTACTCTGACGGACTCCTCTACGCGTGCATCAGTTCTTTAGAAGTGTACATTTTGTTTGAGAGAAATCAGTGTCAACATCAAATCATTGTTGAGTTCGAAGATACTTAATTGGGAAAAGCGTGCGAAATCAAAAAATTATATAAAAACTGAAAACCTTGAATCAAGTGCAAAAGAGGGGAGCATTGAGAAAACCTGTTTGGTTACGTAATTCCGAACTTGAAAGTGACAGAATTTTCTTTTTTAGCTCCTCAAATCGTATTCAATGGTGATTTAATGTCAAACTGTTTCACTTCCTTGGTAGAACATTTTTCGCTTATCATCGCTAACATAATAGTCGTCATCGAACAGCTAAACAAGCCGTACGAGTTAAAATGGGTACGGGGTATTGCTGTTACAGGCAGAGCTCACGATAATTCTGAGGCACCCCTTTCAGTTCGCAAAGCGGAACTATTGATTGAGTATAGTGCGTCGGTGGTGAAGGAAGCGAGAAAATTGGCCGATTTTGTAAGAAATAAGGCTACTCGAATGCAGTGAAAACAAAGGTTGTACGAGATTACCATGGCGGAAATAACATGAAAGGGGTATTCAGACGAGGTTACAGTTGTTGCAATTACCCAAAAAGGTGACTACTGTAAGCCAAAACTGTCCAGAACTGCCTTTGACTGTCGCTGTGGGTCATGGCAACTTGTTTGTACTTCCTACATGGGTTGGTTCCCTTGTGAATTATGAAGCATCT